CATTTACCATATATTGATAAGAACAGATTTAGACAACAACTTTATTGCTGGTACTAAGAAAAGATATTCGTAAGATACATGTCTTACATATACCTCTAATCCAACATTAGGCATAGCATTTAAAAAAAAAAAAACAAACATTTGACATAGTACAGAGATGTGGGTACGTATCATGAGCATTCATATTTCGTAAGAACCTCGTAGGAGGATAAATTTGTCTTCTTCAGTGGTGCCTTTTGCTCACTCTAACATGCAAACCATTCTGCATTGTGAGTACCATAGAAGGACTTGGAGCCACAGGATGATTTTCCAACACTTCAACATGATAATTCTGGAAAATGGCCAGAGCAATAATTTTTATTTGGTAGAAAGATGTGTCTTTGCCCAAACAAGTCCTGGGTCCTGCTAGAAAAGGCATGAACTTGTAAGATGGTGTGTATACAATGCCTCCTTGCTCAGAAATCCACCTTTCGGGTTTGAACTCCAAGCAATCTTCACCCCATATTTCTTTAGATCTTCCCATTGAATATACAGACACAAATATCTTGGTATTTCTACTAACATGATGACCGCTTGGAAGAACATCGGGCTGAATTGATGCCCTCGGCACAACTGGTACTGGTGGATACAGCCTTAAGGCCTCGCATACAGTTCCATGGAGATAAACTAGCTTGCTCATCTCTTCTGCACTGTAAATCTTCCACTCACCATCTTCATTGCCATGCAAATTATTCACTTCGATCTCTTCTAAGATCTTCTCTTCAACAGATGGATGTGTAGCAACAAGCCAGACGAACCAAGTCATAGCGGCAGCTATGGTGTCTCTTCCCGCTGCCAAGAGAGTAAGGGCAGTGTCTCTTAGAAATCTGTCAGATTTTACACCATATTCCCCTAACATGAAAGCTGTTAGTAAGTCAAATTCTTCTTCCTCATCTGCATTTTTTCTGCTTAAATTTTCATGCTTCAGCAAAATCTGCTCATGTAAGAACTTGCCAAAGGTTCCCAAAGCTTTTCTCATCTTCTTTTCTTGTCCCACGCGCAACCATTTTTGCAGCTTCCAAATGCTTCTTGGAACAATATAGCGATAAAAAACACCTTGCTCCATCTCGTCAAATGCCTTTTCATATGAAACTTTAGGGAATTCAAGAGAAAGGCAATTTGGGTCGAATCCAAGAACCAGCAGACAAAAGTTATCGAACATAAGGCGGTGGAGCACATCTTGCATGTCAAACACAGATCCTAGCGCAGAGCAACTTTCAAGAACTGGGATCAAGCCCTCATAGATTTTTTGTTTGAGAATTCTCTGCACTACAAACTTAAACTTGCTGCCTTTTATCAATGAGTGGTGCAGTTTCTGTTGGCTCTTCCACCGATCTCCGTCAGAATTGAAAATGCTACCTCCCAGGGGTTCGAATATCTCCCTGAACTCAGGTCCCTTATGGTAGTTGCCAAATTTTTTGCTCATGATGTGGTGCACGTTCCTATAATCACTTGTCACAACAAAGTTCATGTTAGCA